GAGTTAATAGAGAGACATGTGAATTAAACAATATCATACATCAAATAGACTTAACAGACATCTACCAAGTATTCCACCCAAGCACCAAAGGACATACTTTCTACTCAGCACCCCATGGAACTTTCTCCAAAATCTACCATATACTGGAGCACAAAACAAACCTCAACAAATGCAAAAAGATTGAAATAATTCCATGCATTCTATCAGACCACAACGCAATAAAGCTTACAATCAACATCCAAAAAATCCCCAGTAACCACATGAACACATGGAGAGTAAACAACACACACCCTGAATGATGAATGGGTCAAAAGAGAAATTAAGAAAGAAATAAAAGTATTCCTGGAACTAAATGAAAAGGACAATACAACATAACACCACCTCTGGAACACACTGAAAGCAGTCCTTAGAGGGAAGTTTATAGCTCTAAGTGCCTACATTTAAAAATCGGAAAGATCACAAATAAATGACTTAACACTGCAACTCAACACACTTGAAAAGCAACAGCAAATGAAACCCAAACCCATCAGACAAGAAGAAGTAACAAAAATCAGAGCGGAAATTAATGAAATAGAAACAAAGAAAAGAATACAAAGAATCAACGAATCCAAGAGCTAGTTCTTTGAGAAGATAAACAAGATTGACAGACTGCTAGCCCAGTTAAGCAAAAGAAAGAAAGAGCACCTCTAAATCAACAAAATCAGAATGAAAGGGGAAACATCACAACAGACACCAGAAAGATACAGGACATTATAAGGGAATACTTCAAAAACCTATATGTTACTAAATATGAAAACCTAAAAGAAATGGATGGATATCTAAAGGCATCACCAAAGCTAATCCAAGAAGAGATTAACAGCTTAAACAGACCCTAAACACATAAGGAAATTGAAACAGTAATACAAAACCTCCCAACTAAAATAAGCCCAGGACCAGATGGATTTACAACAGAATTCTATCAGACATTTAAAGAGGGAGACTTCAAATTCCATCAAACTCCCACCTTCCTTCTATGAAGCCAGCATCACTCTACTACCCAAACCAGGAAAAGACACAACCAAAAATGAAAACTATAGATCCATATCCTTAATGAACATAGATGCAAAAATTCTCAACAAAATACTTGCAAACCACATACAGACACACATCTAAAAGATCATCCACCATGATCAAGTTGGCTTTATTCCAGAGGTTCAGGGATGGTTCAATATACATGTCAATAAATGTCATAAATCATATAAATGGCCTCAAAGATAAGAACCACATGGTCATCTCAGTAGATGCAGAGAAGGCCTCTGACAAAATTCAACATGCATTTATGTTCAAAGTCCTAGAGGGAACTGGACTGGAGGGAACATATCTCAACATAATTAAAGCCATATATAACAAACCCACAGCCAACATCATTCTAAAAGGAGAAAAACTGGAAGCATTCCCAGAACCCGACAGGCTGTCCACTATCTCCACTCCTCTTTAACATAGTGCTTGAAACTCTTGCAAGAGCAATAAGACAAGAGAAAGAAATTAAAGGAGTAATAATTGGAAAAGAAGAGATCAAATTATCCCTTTTCGCAGATGATATATTTAAGAGACAGCAAAAATTCCACCAGAAAACTCCTAGAAACGATTAACACGTTCAGTAAAGTGGCAGGTTACAAAATTAATCTACAAAAGCCTAAAATTCTTAACGCATTCAGTAAAGTGGCAGGTTACAAAATTAACCTACAAAAGTCTGTAGCCTATCTATATACCAATAACAAGCAATCAGAGAAAGAGTACATGGAAACACTCCCCTTCATAATAGCTACAAAAAAATAAAATATCTCAGAATAAACTGACCAAAGACATTAAAGGCCTCTACAAAGAAAATTTTAATTCCTTAAAGAAAGAGACTGAGGAAGACATCAGAAGATGGAAGGACCTCCCATGCTCATGGATTAGAAGAATTAATATTGTGAAAATGACCATCCTACCAAGAGTCATATATAGATTCAATGCAATGCCAATCAAAATCCCCATGACATTTTTCACAGAATTGGAAAAAACCATCCTAAGATTCATATGGAAGCACAAAAGACCTCTGATAGCCAAAGCAACACTGAGCACTAAGAGCAATGCCTGGGGGATTACTAGACCAGCTATTAAACTGTATTACAGAGCTATAGTCATAAAAACAACATGGTGCTGGCACAAACATAGACCCATAGATCAATGAAACAAAATTGAAGACCCAAATATGAATACATTCAATTTCAGCCACCTGATATTTGACAA